GTTAGCACAGCGCTAACGTCTCAGTTGAATGAAGCTTTTAGCCCAACATCAAAGTGGCCAACGAGCAAGCGAGCGACTCACGTGTGCAAACAGCCAGCGGTGGCCATTGTCAACAATTTCAAATGCATACTTCATTGTCATCGCGAAGTAAGGCAACAACAACAACAAATACATAAGTAAGCAATCAATAACAGCTGCAACGAAGTACTCAAACACATGCTGCTGTGACATCAAACGTGTTTCAAATGCTTAAGCACCACGAGAATCAGCAAAATGTTGCCCATTTGGCTGGTTGGCTGGCTGTTAGCGCGGCAAAATTAGTGACCAACTATTTTTTTTTTTTATTGTTGTAATTGTTGCTTCCATTTTTTATTTTTTCCACCATATCTAAACTACGCTTTTGTTTTTGCATTTTTCAGCTGCTAAGGAGTGGTCGCCTAAGATCGTGCCAGTGCTTTACGTGGCCGCAAGCAACAACCATACTACTAGCTATTAGCTACTCTAATGTTAATAACAACAAATTTGCGCTATATTAGCTTTTGTTGTCTGCAGCCAGCGACCGTCGATAATCAAATTAAACATTTGCACAGCTGAGCGCAAGGTTTGACATAGCTTTTGAACACACGCCTCCTCTACCCGTCCTCCTCTCTCTCTCTACCTCTTCCACTATTTTTTTTTTTTTTAAAGGTGGCTGCTGCTGTTATTTTATTTATTTGCAGCATAGCTGTTGCTCTGTTAGTTGTTGCATTTGTTGCAGCTATTAACGTGCGAGAGAGATCAAGGATAGGAGGTCAAATGTGCAAAATTACGCCACTGTTTTCGAGGCTACCCCGTCCATGCTGTGTGTTGTTAGTGCTAGCGGCTGGTTACAAATTGTTTTCATTTTTTATTAAGAATGTCTTGTTTTTCCGTTGATTAGTTTTAGTAGAAAAAAAGTCCATTTTAAAAACAAAGGTGTAGTTTTTTGCTAACATTTGTTTTCGAATCTATATATTAATACGCTAACATAAATTTTGTCTCCGTTCGTTTGGCGACATTTTAAGGTTTTCCAGCAATGTTTTTTAACATATTAAAAAGCATGCAGCTAAAATTCATACAAAAGAGCTATGTTTAATATGCGGAGCAGTTTTTAAAGACGATGCTTTTCCTATATTTTGTTAGACTTATATATATATACTTATAAGTAAAAATATTTTGTGAATATTACTTTCTTCATATGAATTATATCACATTTTTTGTTTAATTGAAGGTCTATCGAACAAGTTTAGAGCGTTTGAGCAAAAAAAAACATTTGCTTGTATTTTGTTGTTGCTTCTGGTATCGAAAGTGTCAAAAACTGTTCTCATTTTTTTCTTCTACATCAAAGCGTGCCATACAAATACGTTAAATACAAAAAAAAAGATAAAAAATTTGAATTGATAAAATTTAAATTGTTGCAACTTTCTTTCTTAGTAAATTGGTTTGATTCTCGAAGCATTGAACCATCCTGTGCCAGGCCCAGTAATCAGCGGTTGTGCTGCTGAGTTGGGCGAGCGTTCCAAGAGCTGCTATTCAATCGCTGGTTTTGTATGGAAAAAGGTTTCACATGCAAATAGATTTTAACAATTTAGACTTTTTGTGAGACGAAATTAAAAATATTTGACATTTTCGAGAACAAATAATTTGAAAAAAATCAAATCAGCTGCTATACTGATACTACCTATTCAATGTGCCTTGGTTTAATTGTATTTTTGGAATAAACAAAGTTCTTTTTCCTTATGTCAGTAAACTGTTTTTTTTACAAATAGTATAAATAAGCAATGGGAAATAAGGCAAAATTTGTTTTATTTTCAACCTTTGTTGGGAATAAAGCAAAACTAAGATTTTGGTATAATTTCCCATTTAAAAGTGAAATAAAGCAAATTTTGCGTTATTGCCGTTTGTGGGGGGAAATGGATTTTAATTAGATGCTTTTATGAAGGCACATAAATGCACGCGGGGAGGTTCGCTACTGCCTACCGAGGGGCAACCGCCTTTAGAAGAACACTTTTCTGGATATTGCTAAATCCAGCGGTCGAGATTGATATTGCCGCGTGGTAATGCGCGCCTCTAAATCTGCTAGCAGTTCCATCTTTCTATCGTTTTATCTTTTGCCCTCTGGATAGGAGATTATTTCTAACTGACAAATAATTTAATTTCCATCGTATCTTAATGCGAGGCTAAAGCTCAAAAAGTGTGAAGCGCAATATGTAAATAAGTATTTGCATAAATTACATTTGATATAAAGTACTCATTAAAAAAAATTAAAGAAGCAACATTTTCACATCTTTACTAGCGCAACCATCAACCAATATTATAAAAGAGCTCAAATTACATACAAGCGATAAGATGCAATTGCATTTATTACTCGTGTAGAAAAAAAAAACGTACATATATGTACGTTCACATGCACATATATCATCTATGCTAATTCGCAATAAATACATGTCAACATTCAAACTTTTTTGCATGTATGTGTACATGTGTGCGCGTGTATGACATTTGTAACTTCCAGATTATACTTTATTGTACACTTAGTTTGAATAATTTCATGCAAATTATATGCAATTTTTATTGGCACCTTTTTGCGTTTCTTTTTTTTATGCATATCTGCATACATAGTTTTCGATTCTTATTTCCTTCTTTTCTCTCTTGCTCTTCGACGCCTTCTTATGCTTGATTGATTTTTATGAGTTTTTTGCTGTTTGCACTAAAACGTTTTAAATGCATTAAGAGGTACTTGCATTTCATTTACCTACATTTACCTTCTTGTTGTTGTGTTGTTGTAGTTGCCTGCATGCGTTTAATTTATCATGCCGATGCCACGGCTTGTACATGTGCAATATTTGTGGAAATAAATTTGCAACTTCAGAATATGGGTGTGTGTATGTATGTAAATATGTGTGTGCCAACGCCTGCAAGGCGCTCGCTTTCAGGTGTCCGGTGATTTCTGCTTGAGTTGCCGCTAATTAGCTGATAAAATAAATAAAAATGCAGATTTGTTAGTTTTGAAATTGTACACCACTTGAGCTGGTGAAGTATAGCTTACTACAAATTTACATAAATACATTCATGTGTAAATATGTATGGGCAAGTAGAAATGTAGGTGGCTACGACAATTTTTTTGTGTAACGATGCGCAGGTGGCGTTGGTTGAATAATTTTGCAAGCGCTTTTTTTTCAGTTTAACAACAAACTTAAGTTTTCAGCAAATAATAAAGCATTTAAAGTTTAAGTGCAGTATATAAAAAAAATTAAACATTTTAGCAAAACAATTTTAGTGGTTAAGGACCTACTCATGTCTTTTGTTCAAAATTGAAAAGAAATTTAACATAACGAAGAAATTTGTATACTTAAAGAAAATTCTTTTACACTTAACGAAAAATTTGTTAATCTCAACGAATAATTTTTTGGCTACGAAGAATTTTTTAACATAAGGAAGAATTTCTTGAACCTAGCGAATAGTTTTTTAAACTTAACGAAATTTTTTTTAAACTTAACGAAGTATTTTATTTATTTATAGTTTTTAAACTTAACGAGAAAGTTTTCAATCTAAACCAAATATTTTTTTAAACATATCGACACAATTTCTTGCTTAACGAGAACAGTATTAATTTTAAGAAAAAAAGATGTATACAAATTGAAAAACCTTACATTGTACCATAGGAGTATATAATGGAAAAACAATTTAACTTAACGAACCGTTTTTATACCTAACGTCAAATTTACTTAAGCTAACGAAGAAATTTTTTACTCCTAACGAAGCATTTTTTAAACCAAACGCAGATTTTTTTCAACTTAAGGAAGTGTTTTTCAACTTAGTTTCAAGTTTTTTAAACTTATTGAGACATTTTTTAATCTAAACGAAATATTTTTTTATTATTATCGAAACTATTTTCTAGCTTGGCGGAAATAAATTTTGAACTTAACAAAAAATAAGAAGATAAGAACCTTACAAAGTTCGAATAATTTCTGGTTAAGGATATCGATTCAATAAAGTTTATTTATCGAAAATATTTTGAGGTAAACGACACCGCTGTTGTTGTAACTGATCAGCTATAAACAATATTTTTAAATAATTATATAAAAAATACCATTAGCCTCAAACAAATTCCTTTAATTTAGCGAATATTATTTAACATCCTTCTTTGATATTTTGAGCTTAACAAACGTTTCCCAAACTTAAAGAAAAAATTTCAAACTTTTCCAATACATATGAAAGAGCATTGTTTTTTATAAGCAATGTCTATCTTAAGGGATATTGAAGATGGTATGAACTTAACGATTGACTTTCTATGTAATTTTGAGTTACATGAAATCACTTTTGAGATTATCGATCAGTAGTTAAACTTAACGAAAAAATACTTAGCAAAAATTATTTATAATTTTAAGCTACGAAAGCTTCTCAAAACATACCAAAAAACTTTAACAACCCAAATTCGTTCAGTACCAATGAAATAAGTGATAATGGAGTGCTACATTTAAGTTAAACGAAGCTAATGCAAATTGCCCGAACGTTTTTTAAACTTATCGAAAAAATAATAAAGAAAGCATTTTTAAGCTTAGTTTTATAAACCTAAAATTTTTTTACTTGTCGAAAATTAATAAAAAATGTATTTTAACCAAGAGTTTGTAAACTTAACAAAGCACTATTTAAACTTAACGAAACTTTATTTTATTTGTATATAAATACACACGTACTCATATTTGAACTCAGTGCAACAGTATAATCTTAATGAATCTTCACTCAATTAGAAAAAATTTTATTATCTAAAAAATTTGATTGAAAATTCACAAAAGAATAACTAACTCCGATAAGTTTCATAATATTTTATCTGCAATTTAACGCAAATTTTAACTTAACGAAATTACTTTCCGTCCGAAATTAATATACCTATTTTAAAAAGAAAATATTAAATTAACTGATAACTTTTAACATGACTTAAATTATTTATCTTTTTTATGTTTTATATTATATCTTAGCTCAACGGATGTTACTCAAGCATCACATTTGCGTCCAATGCAGAGGTATTGAAAAATGTATGTCGCAGAGAAATTCAGAACTTTTACCATGTAAATATTTTTTTCAATTTACATATTTATGGTTCAGCCTAATTTCGTGACAATATTCTACAATTTCATGCACATTTTTTAAATAACCAAAAATAATACGAAACTCATCCAAATAATTTAAACTTAACGAAACACTAAAACCTAACGAAACGCCTTTACTAGCTTTGCAACTATAATTTGGAGTGACATTAAAAACCGTGAAGTCTTCTAGACTACAGTTTTAACTTAACGAAACCTTTGAAAGTTAACGAAACATTCAAAACCCCACAAAACTTGTTTAATTTGCAGAAACTAGCTTTTTAAATAACACTAGCAGAAGAGAATCAAGTTGTAAGCCACAAAATTAAACGAGTTATTTTCTAAACCTAACAAAATTTTCCATAAAATAAACAAATCTCAATTACAAGCCAAACATGTAATTGAATAATATAAATTAGCAACTTAACAAGTAGTATCATACACATTTCACTCTTAATTTTATTGTTAAAAACTTTAGTTCCATCAATCACTAACACGCCCGCATCTTCTTCTCTTCCAGATACGCCAGCCTTCCAATATCCACCTCCAGCCAGTCCATGCTGCCATGTGCACAGCCCCTCGCCATTTACCGCAGGCAGTGCCGGCGGCGGCGGTGGCGAAGTATTCTTTCCACACAACCGCAGCACACCACGTACCCCACGCACCAGTGTTAGTTTCGCGGCCGGTGAGGAAACCGCATTCTTCCGCCATCACAATATCAGTGGCGGTTGCAGTAGCAGCGCCCCACACCTGCAGCCACCACAATCGGCACCACCAATGCCACCCAGTAGTCATGCCAGTGCGCATAGTCAAACAGCGCCACAACAATACCAGCAATATTCATATCCACACTATCAGTATACACCACCACCGACGCCGCTTACAGCCAATGCCAGCACCAGCACAAGCACCTGCACCGGCACCGGCAATATGTTCGGTTCAACGGAGGCGACAACGCATCAGCGCACTTGTGTAGCGTCGACGTCAACATCGACGCCGTCCTGTAGTTCGAAGGGACATGCGCGATTGCATCGCAGCTTCTCAGATGCACAGAAGCGGTGAGTAAATAGAAATAAAGAAGAAACATTACTTTGTATGAGAAAAGTTTTCAAAAACTTAACGAGGGTTTTTCGAACATAAAAAATATAATCCTCGAATGTAACTAAGCTATCTAAGCTTAATAAGAGTTTTCAAATCTCAGATTAAGTGTTTTAAAACTTAACGAGAATTTTGCAAAAGCGTAGCAAAAGATTTCTAGCAAAATCATAGATGACGTTGGTTTTGTATATCACGCAACTTAACGGAAGCTTTCAAGATTTAAAACAATATTTTGAAAAATATCACTATAATTTTTGCAACAAAAAAAAAATATTCTACAAGTAATGTACCTATTTAAAACTAATTGCGTTTTTTAATCTCTCCGAGGATCTTTAAAAATGAACGAGAATTTTCAAGACCTTAACTAAAAACTTGTAAACTCAACGTAAGATTTTAAATTTAAGTTTTCGTATCTAAACTCAAGATTTCAAAACGATTTAACGAAAGCTTTCAGAACTTAACACGAAAGTCCTTGAAACTGCGCGAGCTTTTTCATACCTTAACGAACTCAACGAAAGTTTTCAAAACTTGACGAAAATTATTCATACTTAACGAAAGTTTTTGATACCTAAAAAATTGAATTAACTATTTTTTAACTGACAATACTGAACTTATGTACAATCATACTTACATACTAATTTTTCCATACTAATTTTGTGACTAAATCACATACAATACTACTTCAACTCATTATCAGCTCAAATATTCTAAAATTTATGTTTCAATTTGTAGTTGAAATACTCACTTTATTATCGCCTGGGAACGCCTACCCTATACAGTAGTGCTACAACAATACACATAAAATCCAACAAAGCTCCAACTGTTGATGATAATCAAATGGGAATGCACGAAAGCGTAGGGGGTGTAGAGCAAACGCCATAAAAGCTCGCGATCAACGACCGGCTGGCTGCTAGCTGGCCGGCTGCATTCGACGACAGCAGCTCCCGCAACGCATTAATGCGCCATTTAGATTGCGAAATCTCACTGCGCCTCTAGTATACAGACATACATACATATATATAAGTGTGCTAAAAATATCAATTCCCATGACATCTTTTCACGCACCAAGTACGTTTGTACTGCGCGTCAACGCTATCGGTCAGTTGGCGACAGCACCAGCTACAGGCGACTTATACAAGCCCCCAGCTTCCAATTGCTACATATCAGCTAAACAGCCGCTCATCAGCCGGCGTTGGAGGCTTGATGTTAATTACAGTGCTAGCAGCACATACATACATACATATGTATCGACATGACCAACGACAACTTGCTGTCAAGATAATACCTTCATTTTACTACCCCCACACGGAACGGCTCTTCGGCGCTTATGTCGATCGGCACATCTCGATCGTCGCCACTTTATCGCCACATATTTAAATATTTCATCATGGGAATGAGTACAGTCGCTTGAGTTGCTTGATTTCTTCTCACCCCTTCTCGTCACCTTCATTCAGTTATGGCACACACGCTTTTACGCACAATTATTGTATTTTATTGTGCGCTAATTGCAATTTGTGTATTCTGATAAAGTTTTTTAATTTATTACACTCGCTTATGAGATTTCTTAAGAATTCAGCGTGATTTTCACTGTCTTACATTTTCATATTATTGCTGATTTCTTTTATGTTTTCAAAATGATTTTTCCTTTTATGTCTATTTATTATTTTTTTTGATTTTTTTTTAGCTCGCGTCGCACATCAACCGCAAATGATGATGAACGCGAGTGTCATAGTGAGCATGAAACCAGCTGGGATGAGTTCGATGATCGTTATGAAAATTTTACAGCAGGCCGTGAACGTTTACAGGAATTCAATGGGCGAATACCGCCGCGTAAGAAGAAAAAGGATGTGCCAAAATCGAAGTCAGAAAAGAAGGTGAGTGCAAACAAATAGGGCTGATGAAATGAAGTTTATTCTTTGAGGGCCAATCTTGAAGACCGTGTGAAAGAATATCCTAACTCTGTACTAACTCAACTATCTGGCAAACTATCCTTACTCAGACGCGCCTATCTTTTTTGTCCTAACTGTATTGCTTAACAGCTTAACATCCGAATAGAAAAATAGGCGCGTCTGAGTTAAGATAGTTTGTCTGAAAAAGCGGAGATAAGATAGTTTGTCTGACACTGTCGAGTTAAGGTAATATTTCGCGTGGCGTCAATTTAGACGGCTATCGACCAGTTAATTCTTAAATGCAATTCATTTCTGTAACTTTGCTTGGCCTTCCTTAATATCGAGTGGGCTTTTAATTAGAAAAAGCCGCAAGTTTCCTAGAAAAACTCGACACCCCTATTTTATCTATCTAGCGGCATGGTACACGACATCTATCCAGAGAAGAGTGTTACGGAAAAGGAGGAAACCATTATTTTGCGTTATTTTCGTCAACAACCTTTTGGAGACTCTGCAATTATTGTCAGAGGAAAATTTTAAGATAACCTGTAGGAAATTTTTCAAGAATATCTGAAGTTTGTTGTAAACAGGGACTTGGTGCAAGCCCTTATAAAACGGTGTTCGATTCTTGAGCAAATATTTAGGCGTGTTCTAACACTATGCGCCGAAATGCTGGCTACACCCTCGATAAGCTTACATCAAAATAGCGATGTGACCTTATATCTTTCTAATAAAGTATTTTTGCGCGTTATTAAAACGTGACATCTGCGAAGAAGGTTCTCTTCGGTTCCCTCAATTTAACTTCCTCCACCTTCTACAAAATTCATTGTAGGTAATGCCCAAGCTTCTGGCGTGGTTGCCAACCGGCCAATGCCTCTGTATCAATCGGCTCTCAACAGGAAGATGACCCTTAAGGTCCTGTAGAATTAAATTGCGGTCTTATATTGGACGGCATTTGAGAAATTATATTACTATGCTATTGAGATTGAAGTGATTTATGTTTTGTGAATGTGTATAGGGAAACAGGTTTATAGTAACATCGGGTAATGCTATGGACCTTATTGGTCTCTGCGAAGCCAGTGGCTGGCCAGCATACCTAACCTAACATAACATTGGGGCCATCCATAGGGCAAGTCCTTGTAGTTTCGACACATTGCCTAGTTTTTAACGGTTATACTCGTACTGTAAATCTGAATACTACGGTACTGTAACATAAAAACGGATGTACTGCTGCTGCGTAGATGTACGTGATGGGCAGATGTACGTGGGCTTAGACCTCTCAACCTCCCGAAAACCACTTACAAAAGTAAATTTCAACGCTTGCTTTTTTAACTTAGCATCAAGTAAGATATCCCATTGCAACCCATGGGCCCTTAGTATGGTGGATATTACGGCCGTAAAGAATGACATCAGGCTCAGAGAGGCCAATACGATTTCGGGCAAAGAGCAATGCTGAATGAAATAAAATGGTGTCGGCTTAATGTAATTAAAGCTGACATAGAAGTCAGCACTGATTATTGAAAGCAATAGGATCTAAAATAGTGAAATCGGGAATTGTATGGAAATTTCGCATCACGCTGGCGTCACAGAGCCGTATCAACGTCACTCCAACCTGGGTTCCCGAACATACCAATATTGAAGCGAATAAGTCGGCTGATTAGATGGCCAGATGACGCTCAGAGAGCGGATAGCCACTGTTTGGTAATCACGTTAGGAAAATATCTGAATACAGTTGAATATACAGTGACCGCAACTCGTGACTTGTGGAACAAACGGGAAGACTGTGAGATCACAAGATTATTATGGCCGCGGCTAAGTAGGAAAAAGACAAAGGACATATTGAAACTCAATAGATCTGCAGTAAGAGTCCTTACCCGAATCATAACAGGAGACTGTGCTATAGCATCAATGCTTCAATAGGCTGCTATGATGAGCCGGAAGAAGAGTCAATTGACCACATTCTGTGTCGATGTCCAGGACTACAGACGAAGCGCCTCAAACACAAGGGTTCACGCTTCTTCAACGGTCAGGGCGAGATAGCGGAGGTAACACTGTTGGATCTCCTCGACTGCATTAGGGATAATAATTGGTTCAGTAGATTAAGGACTTGAAGCTACCATTTCGATTATAGGTACGTGTGTCCTGGACATTTCTGTCTCCGAATAAAAGCATGGAATACTCCACACATGCGCTACTAACCTAAACTAACCATGACACTCACATATGGTCAACTAAGCGATATTTTTTTTTTAATTTTGCATTTCTGCATCAAAAGCAACATTTTGAAAAAAATTCGCTTACGATATTTTAGCGGTTAGGGCTCGATATATTTTGGTATATGGAAAGTTGTGTGCCTTTTCCTGCATTTACTGTGCTATCTGTGGTATGAGTTTTTTTCCAAGGCATGTATATATGTTTTAGACGGGACCAATTTCTGTTCCATGCTAGCCTCAAAGTATACCTCATGTGCCTACTTAGTAATTCCTCAACTGTTTCGCTACTGTAAATATTGAAAAGGCCCTTAACCCAGCCAAGAGAAAATCAAATATGTCTTCTGAAATGACGCGCGCTTTTCTATTTTGCAATTTGTAATAGGTTTTTTCAATAAAAAACAGTAAAAAAAGTGCTTTTCGTCTATCCTTATAGTTTTTCAAGTCCTTGCGGTAGCGTATTAATTACACCCAAAAAAAAACTTCTCTTAANGTTTGTAATAGGTTTTTTCAATAAAAAACAGTAAAAAAAGTGCTTTTCGTCTATCCTTATAGTTTTTAAAGTCCTTGCGGTAGCGTATTAATTACACCCAAAAAAAAACTTCTCTTAATTGAAGAAAAACAGCAATCAAAATGAAAAAAAATGGGAATGAAACAGCACTAAAGGAGTTTTATCCTCTTTTCATGACCAACATTTCTTCAAAATGATAGATTACGTTAACGGTTCCATATTTTCGTGTACGTTTTTACACATTCCAAAGAAAAATTACGCATTCGGGAGAATTTTTTACTCATTCGGAAGAATTTTCTACCTTAAAGTAAGGAAAGTTTTTCTGTGATCCAGAGATGGATTTTTGGTTCAGTGTATGTTTCCATATAATTTTCTAGTTCCGAGTCGCTGGTCTTGTTGGAAATATTAGAACAGATGAAGTGTATGTAGTTGTCAAGCTGGAAATGGATTTCTATTAAATTTTTCTACCTCTTTTCAGGTACCTCTTTTGCAATATTTATGAAAATTCCATAGAAAAAGTAACACAGGAATTAGTAATTGAACAGGCTGACCCTTTATTTATTTGCAAAACATATGAGTTTTCTGGGAATATTCGAAATCAGAAGTAAGAATTTGAATAAATATTCAATTCGAGCGTTTATCGTTTAGTAGCTTCTAGAAATTTCTTTCTGCTGCTCTATGGATAAAAATGGATAAAGTGCTGAATGAACAGCTAATAAAGAACATATATGTATATGTATTAAAAAACAAAAAAACTTCCATAACAACCTTTGTACACATAGTAAATATAACTAGAATATCAGCCTATAACTACAGGTGTTCTTTATTATTCAAGTCGTAAATTGCACCATTGTGCACTGGGCACAAACAAACTTATTGCATACATATATAGTATGTAGAAAAAAAAACTTTAATATGACACAGTTCATTCATTTATAGACTTACATGAAGAACGCTCTTTAAAATTCTTTGTTTTCGAAACACTTGTGGGCATATGGAAAACAGAAAGAAATAAACCTGCGAGCGCAATTTCTGCACAATAAGTGATGAGCGAGAAATTAAAAACTACTGCAAAATAAAATGGTGGAAATAAGTGGGTAGCAAATTTTATTACGCTGCAGCAACACTAAATGCAAAATACAAAATGCAATCTAAATCACAGGCGCGCTAATAGATATGCGGCGGGCCAATGGACACGAGCAACCGCTCAATCAACCCACTCCGGCTGTTGCCCCGCACCCCCCGTACATATGTATGTGCGTTAGTATGTGTGCTTAGTAGGGTAGTTCAAAAAGGCATGGTGAAAAACAAAGTCGGAATTTTAATGTTCTCACCACCTATATCGAAAAAAATATAGCTCTGTTTTTTTTTTTTNTGGGAATGAAACAGCACTAAAGGAGTTTTATCCTCTTTTCATGACCAACATTTCTTCAAAATGATAGATTACGTTAACGGTTCCATATTTTCGTGTACGTTTTTACACATTCCAAAGAAAAATTACGCATTCGGGAGAATTTTTTACTCATTCGGAAGAATTTTCTACCTTAAAGTAAGGAAAGTTTTTCTGTGATCCAGAGATGGATTTTTGGTTCAGTGTATGTTTCCATATAATTTTCTAGTTCCGAGTCGCTGGTCTTGTTGGAAATATTAGAACAGATGAAGTGTATGTAGTTGTCAAGCTGGAAATGGATTTCTATTAAATTTTTCTACCTCTTTTCAGGTACCTCTTTTGCAATATTTATGAAAATTCCATAGAAAAAGTAACACAGGAATTAGTAATTGAACAGGCTGACCCTTTATTTATTTGCAAAACATATGAGTTTTTTGGGAATATTCGAAATCAGAAGTAAGAATTTGAATAAATATTCAATTCGAGCGTTTATCGTTTAGTAGCTTCTAGAAATTTCTTTCTGCTGCTCTATGGATAAAAATGGATAAAGTGCTGAATGAACAGCTAATAAAGAACATATATGTATATGTATTAAAAAACAAAAAAACTTCCATAACAACCTTTGTACACATAGTAAATATAACTAGAATATCAGCCTATAACTACAGGTGTTCTTTATTATTCAAGTCGTAAATTGCACCATTGTGCACTGGGCACAAACAAACTTATTGCATACATATATAGTATGTAGAAAAAAAAACTTTAATATGACACAGTTCATTCATTTATAGACTTACATGAAGAACGCTCTTTAAAATTCTTTGTTTTCGAAACACTTGTGGGCATATGGAAAACAGAAAGAAATAAACCTGCGAGC